GGGAATTTTGTCCCCAAATCCATGAGGCTGGTTGGCCTCAAAATTGGGAATTTTGTCCCCAAATCCATGAGGGTTTTTGGTTCAGTGACCCCAAAATTGGGAAAACTCTCCCAAAATTGGTGAGGATTTGGGGTCGGTGGCATGTGCAGTGGTGAGGATTGGGGTAGAAATCCACGGATTTGGACAATCCTGACGGGACATTTTTGGACATTTTCAGATGTCTTGAGGTGTCTTTATATTTGTTTGGACCTTTTGGGTATTTTTGGATAATTTGGGACATTTTTGGATGTCCTGGCATGTCTTGAGATATCTTTGGGTGTCTTGAGATGTCTTTGGACTACTTTGGATTTCTTTGGGTCTTTTTGGGTATTTTTAGCTATTTTGGGACACTTTCGGATGTTCTGGGATATCTTGAGATGTCTTTGGACTTCCTTGGATTTCTTTGGGTCTTTTTGGGTATTTTTAGGTATTTTGAGACATTTTTGGATGTCCTGGGGTATCTTGAGATGTTTTTGGATGTCGTGGGAGGTCTTTGGACATCTTGGGACACTTTTGGCCATCTCTGCATGCCTCAAGCTCCCTTCAAACCCCTTTCCCTCAACCCACTCCCCATCCCACCTCCACCCTTGCCTCCATCCCACCCAAAATCTCTTCTCCAAGCCCCAACCCCACCAAGAAGAGGACCCACCTGGGTTTTTTTCCCTAATCCCGGCGTTTTTCTGGGAATTTCCAGGCCGGAGAACACGCACAAGTCCACCAAGGCCAGCTACCACGCCGACATCAACCTCCTCTACTGGAGCGACGAGGAGGCCACCGTGGAGTTCCGGGCGGTCCAGGGCCGCTGCTCCGTGGTCTACGGCGAGGACCTGACCGAGAGCATCCAGGACTACTCGGCCGGTGGCCTGGACCGCTTCTACTTCCTGGAGGTGAGGGAAGGGACGATGTTCCTCCAGGGTGGAGGAGCCTGGAGACACCAGGGATGGAGAAAATCGGGGGGTTCTGGTGACCCCAGGTGGGTTTTCCGTGGAAGGGTTGGATTTGGGGCTGGTTCTGCGATTTTGGGGAGCAAATCTGGGTTTTCAAGGATCTG